CCCCGGCGTCCTGCTGGGGGGCAGGCCCAGTCCCCCCGCCTCGGGTACCGCCTCGCACCGGGCGTTTCGTACTCGCGAAGGGCCCGTTTGCCGTTCGCGCAGGTCTGGTAAAAGCCCGAAGTGACCGCGGTAGATTGCAGTTTTCTTTGTCACTATCAGGATTTTTTTTTTTTTGTTAAAGCCGCTTGTCTGCCACACCTGTCCCTCACCCCCGTGGCATCTGGGTGAAACAGCTTACAAATACTTCCTCTAGTAAGAGAAAAGCGAAGTGCTAGCGCGCCGTCTGGTTTTAATCTAGAAAGTTAGGAACTCTTATTTTTGCTGTAAGTCACGGCTCCTCTTACAGCCCTTTCTGGGAGAGGCCGTGTTTGATTCCCCATGTACATCAGTCCCGTTTTCTGGAATTTCAGAGGACTCGCAGGAAAGGTGGGCCTGGCAGCCTCTCTAGGCACAGATGGACCAAAGGGGGTACCTAGTTTAAAGAAATAACCATAAAGGAAACAAAAACAAATGCAGAAGTGAAACCTAGAAGCTTTTTCAGTGACTACCAATGGCAACAGTGAGCTCTGATGGAAGAATTTGCAGTTTAAGCCCCTAAACCCCAGGTCTTGCGCTGTTGCGGTGTAAGATGGCAATATCCCACCAGATTCTTCCTCTTCCGCCCCAGCAAAATAGCTTGCTGTGCGCTTGGATCTGAAGAGCATGGAGGGGAAAGGCTAGGTCTATCTCAGACTCTAGCAAAGTACTCGGATGCTAAGATTTTCTTACTTTTTCTCCCTTTACTGATAGCGTGATAAGCTTCCGTGTGATTTACTGTTAGAAATGCCTTCCAGTGCATGTAGGCACTTGTTCTGGATGACTCCGTGTGAGCTAAAATGTGCAGTGTAATGATAAACCATTCTGTCCTCTCAATAGCACTAAGTATTTAAAATCTGCTTTGTATGCGTTAATAATTAATAAAATGAAGAGTATGCCTTTCGTGGGAGGGAGGTTGATTAAAATGAGGGGGCAGAAATGCTGCTGCGTGGACTGCATGGATCAAGGCAGTGAATATTTTTTAAGTGACAAGGTAAAATCTAGCCTTGCTTCCAGATCTTGCATCCTTTTTGTTTTGGAGTCTCTGGAAAGAAAAATGTCTGTGCGAGTTACTGATAGTGACTTAGAAATACGTACTCAAGTGATGTAGACACCGTGCAACTGTTGGTGGAATCTGAAGTTAACTGTGGAGGAAGGCTGGCGATGGCTTGCACCTCGAATATTCTGTAGCTCACCTGCCTTCATAGCCATTAATCGAGTGCGTACAGAATCTAATATCCTTAGAAGATTGTTTCTCAGGACCAAAGATGGCACGCTTCTGCCCGTCAGACTTTGCATTCTTGTTTATTTGCTTGCAAAGCAACATGTCTGACAGATAGCAGGGGTGAGGGATGAAATGTCTGCATGAGGGTCTGTCCAGAAGGGTTGGATCAGCCACATCATGAGGTAAAAGATCTTTCACAAGGAGAGTTTCAGGAGTTAACTAGAGGCTAAAAGGATAAAGGGAACAGACTTGAGTGTGATAGATTAGCAGGTACTTTTATTGATTGAGTATTCCTAGTCTTAAGGCTGTATCAAATCATGCTTTTGAAGAGCAAGACATAAGGAAGTTGTATTTTACTGCGTTGAATTAATGCACAGATTGACTATGTTTCTCCTCTTATTATGGATTTGCAGTATTTTTTCAAATAGATGCCCCCAAAATTGCAATCTCTCTCTCTCTCTTTCTAATTCATACTCACTTCAGATATTTCTCTTGAGTTAGTAAGTGGCACCAGGGCCTTCATTCTTGTTGTTTGATTGCTTCTTTATCCAAAACTCAGAAGTTTATGAACTTCCTAGTTTGTTTTACTGTTGGCTGTTTTTTTTTTTTTTTTTCTGACTTCCTAGCTGGCAAAGATAAAAGAGATGTGGTGTTTTCAGCTTTGTTATCTCTTATCTCTTTGTTTTGCGCTCATCTTTCTTGCCATCCCTGGGGCAACAACCTCTTACACTCACTAAATCAAGGCAGTTGCCACTTCCACTGTTGATGTATTCCTCTAAAATTAGCTTCCCCCCCCCACCCCGAACTGTTCAGGTCCTGTGACTTCATTTGCCTCTTACTGGGGAGGAAGAAAGTGTGGGGTAGACAGACTTGGCTTCAAATCTGTGCTGCTAGCTTTTTTAAAAGTGGTCTGGCCACATCAATGTTTAAAATGGGGGTAATAACACTACTGTATTTCACAGTGTTATTATGCTGTTTGGTGCATTCTCTAGCTAATTGCAGAGACCATCTAAATGTTCCCAGAGGCTTTTGCCCAACTGCCTTTCTCTTTATGGCTTTTCGCAAGTTGCTCATTATCTGAGGTTCTTTTTTAAATCGAGTTGACTGAAGAAGCGAACGCTGACGTTTCTGTGTATTTTCTTGCAGATCTTGTAAGTACTCACATGACATCATCAATGCTGAGAACAAAAAAGTTCTAAGGACCCATGAGTTGTCTGGCCTCGATGAGAATGAGCTGCGAGTCCTGCTTCTCCAAAATGATCCTTTCCTCCTCCCTGATGTGAGTTGTACTGATTTCTTAAGAGAAGCTTTTGTCAATTAGGAATGGGACAGGGCAAGAGAGAATGTGGAGTTCTGATCTCATTTTCAAGCTGTTAAGATACGTAACAGTAATATTAAGGTTAGTCTGAATGAAGTATGAATGGGAATGGCTGTGTGTGAAAGCACCAGAAGAAACAAAATAGAGCCAGGGTAGTGAAAGTGCCGTGTACTTATAACAAAAAAAAAAAAAAAGCAATAAAACCGTTAAACACTGAGGAGTGTATTGCTTACGTACATACCAGAAGGCTTGCACTCTGGATAGGGTCACGTCATCTATGACTTGTCAGCAGAAGACCTGCCATCTGACAGCAGGAGGTTGGATATGGCTATCCAACAGGATAGCCATAAAGTTACTCAAAACAAGCAAATAAAAAAAAAGTCAGCAACTTCATCAGAGATTTACAGATGGTGAGGTACACAAGACAGAGGTGAAAGATTCCAATAATTGTACATGCTTATAGCATAAAAGGCCGGACCAAAACCCAGTTTGTTGGCTTTTCTCCAGGAGATGATGGAGACTAGGAAGTGAGAGCCCCTTTCCTTTTCCAGCATACATAGGCCTGCACATTTTCGTGCTTCAGGGTATAGAGAAGTGAGAAAAATCTGTGAGAAAATGACCAAATGACTGCTGTCAGTTTTGTGTAAAATCTACCCCTTCCAAAGTGCACTGAGTTTTTGTATACTAACTTTCTATGAAGCAACCTTTGGTTTGTATGCAAGTCATTGATTTTGTTAAATTTGGCTGAACAATCCATTCTGGTTCTGCGTGTGTGTATAAGGGCAATGCTGGCTTCAAGGTATGGCTGTTCCAAAGCCAAGAATATCCTGTTCTGGCTACAGCTGTTCCTGGTTAAGAAATTACCGGAGTACTGCCTGTTACCTTTGTCTTTTGGAAGTTATAATCTCCACAGATCTGTTGGCGTAACAGTTCTATTGTTTTCTTATTCCCTGCTGAGACAGTGCTGGGCTTTGACAAAATAGTCGGGTGGTTTGTTTTTGGTTTTTTTTGGTAGTGATTTAAAATATGTTGTGCTCGCAGATTCAAGGGGCATGGTGGTGATGAACAAGGAGGATTAATAATATCTTTGTTCCCCTCATCTGCATCTAAAACTGAAGTCTTTCTTGTTTTATTACTCCCAGTAATGAGCAGATAGTAGCAACTGTCATTGATTGGTATTACTCTTAAGCTCTTATCTATAGATCTGTTCAGCCCTCACTGCTGGCAGGCATCATTAATTACTTCTAATTGAGCACCTTTAACTCTTATTATGGAGTAAAATGGCAGAAACAACAGAAAACAGTGATCGAGGCAGGCTAATTCATAAACCTCAGAGCTGGGGAGAGCGGTGCGAAAGCCGACTTGGCTGTTTCTTGCTTAGAAACGCTGACTGGCTGTGTGTGCTGCCAAACGGCAGGTATGAAGCTCTCAAGCAAGAGGAAACATTGATCTTCTGTGACCTGAACTGGGGTACAGGATAAGAAAAATACAACAGCACCCCAAAATCCGGGGTTTGTATACTTTTCCTCACTTTCTGTCTGGCTCTACGTTTTTTTGTTGTTGTTTTTTTTTCTTGGCAAATGCAAGGCGCAGTGTGCTTTCTTGCTATAGCTAAATAGTGGATCCTGTATTTAGTTGAGGCAGCACTTTGTTGTGGTTTGGTAGTTTATTCTGATGCTCCCATGTAAAAATTTTGCCTTGCATACTAACGTCATCTTTTAATGCATCTTCCTCTAGATGCTCTACAAAATTGCTCTCAACCAGATTCAATGTCTTTAAATCTCTGGGAGCTACACTTTGTAACTTAGGTGGCTGATATCTCCACTACCCTAAAGTGATATTTTGTGTAATGGATACTCCATACAAAATGTTTGTGTTTTTAGTACTTTCCCAGCTTTTACCTGATTCTGTGTTTTAGTTGTGTTTTTTTCCTACTCTCTTGAGCAGGAAGATGGGAGCACAAGAGCAATTTCTGTGCTCTGGTCCCCAAAACCAGTGTCTGACATAAGTCTTACGCTTTATTTGGTAGTTCTTAGGCTAGCTTTAGGCTGTGTAACAAACTGCTCCCTGCTTCTGGTTTTGATTAGCAGTATTCCAGGAGGAGAAATTTTCTAGAAAGGAGAGGATATTGAAATTAAGGGGGAAAGATTGGGTTGGGGAAGGACCTAGTAAGGAAGCAGTGATTTTAATTTTTTCTAGCAACATCTGGAGAACTAATATTACTCCTTTGAACCGAGGGACCACTGTGTAAGTTTGTATCACAGCCCTTGGTCTGTGCTTAGTTGTCTGTCTCTGGCAGATGTTGAATTAACTGTTTGTTTTCAGCTCAGTAACTTGAACAGTTATCCCCACTTGGAGGAGTGGAAACACAAATTGAATGTTTAAACCAATAACTTATTTTTCTTATTGTTAGGTAGGCACTCAGAAGAGGCATGTACATTTTAGATGAAAGTAACACTTTGAGTGATATCGGGCCCCCAAAATAGAGCAATATTCTTCAACTGAGCAAGGCCGTCCCTTGGCAGGGCTGTAAGCTTTATTTCTTTAGTGACTGAAATTGCAAAGCATCTCCCACGAGAGCGTTTGTCATTACCCTAGCACTTGCGTATGTTCTTAATACATAGATCTTAGAGTGCTCTGTAGATGATAAACCTTTCTGCATTCTTCTCGGACAAAGTTGGGAAAACGAAGGAGAGAAAAATGAAGTGACTTACCCAAAATTCTGGAGTAGGTGAATAATTGCTTTGCCTTGGCAGGAGCTGGTACTTTTTGGATCTCACTAAGAAAGGCACATGATGCTTAAGATAAATAGCTGGTTACTACTAAAGATTATAATGAGAAGAAATCTTATGTGTCCCTTCTGATGTTGTGGGAACCCATGACAATACAGCATCAGACAGACCTCTGTGGTAGGACCATGGCTTGCTGTGCAGAGTTCCCATCCATGATGAAGTTCAGCACCCTTGCTGTTCTTCACATCTTCACAGTATTTTTCTAAAAACAAAAAAACAAAAACAAAAAACCAAAAAAAAAACCCACCAAAAAAAAACCAAAGCAGAAACCCCCCAAAACTAAACAAACCCCAAAGCTATTGGTCTTCTATCAGTATAAAACTGGATGTTCTAGATGGTACATTGAGGTTCACCAAGAGCATTATGCTCTTACGCATCTCTATAGGAGCAAACTCGTACAAACAGTACTACAGGTTGTATTGTTAAAGGCAGTCCCTGCTAATGGCATGGTAGGTGCTGTCATTATGCGGCTGTCACTAATGATAACGTATGGGCCTCTGCAACCAAGGCCTACAGGTAAACTGCCTAGATTTGCTAGAAGTTGCTATCTCCTCATTATAATGTCTTCCGCAGCCGCCCACTACATCAGCTGAAAATAGGTCCAGAATTCATTTTCCAAAATTTATTTTCCCAGTACAAGAGAATGATGCAGCTGCTGGAAGAGGAATTCAGTGAAGCAGCACTGAGATGATGAAGGGACTGGAGCATCTCTCACATGAGGACAGGCTGAGAGAGCTGGGACTGTTTAACCTGGAGAAGTGAAGGTTCAGAGGGATCCCATCAATGTTTACAAACACCCGATGGGGAGGGTGTAAAGAAGACAGAGCCAGGCTCTTTTCAGTGATGGGCACAAACTGAAACATGACCCTGCACTCTGGAACACCTCCTCCCCTTCCTTCTTCTCACCTTGGTGTCTGCAGGGCTGTTTCTCACACTTCCCTAAAGCGTGTTTTGGTTTTGTGTTTTTTTTTTTTTTTTGTTCACCTGTGTCCTGCAGTGGGTCTGTTGGAACCAGCTGTCTCCAGTGTGAACAGGCCACCCCTGCTGGCAGCACCTTGCATGGGCCCCCAACAGATTGTAATGCCACTGATAACATTTTATGATGCAGCTAAGCCTAAATATATAAATAATACCCGTAATTGCAAGGGGGTAAATGGAAAGTTGTGATATAGTTGTGCAAACAGGGTACAGCAAAACATGTAGAAATAAAATCTGGAAGATGCCTGGTAAAACTAAAATCCTGCAGAGCAGGCAGGAAAGGTATGTGACGGAAGCAGAATAATCCACTAGAACAAACAAAACCAGAACAAGTCCAGATCCCAAAAATAAGATGTCAAAAGTAAATGAGAGTGTTCTTTGGGTTGTCAGGGGTAGAAAAGCATAAAGTCTCCACAATGACAGAGGGAAGATGGGGAAGAAAGAAGACAACTCCCTTTGGTTTCTGCTTCCCTTAGAGGCTAACAGCCATTGTGGACAGTAGCCATCACTGCTCACTGAAATTACATCAGTTCTGTGGTTTTGTATGCTCCCACCTAATTTAGAGTCAGTTTGTGAAGGCTAATTGTTCTGTACGTGATACTGACTGATAGCAACAAGGAACTTGCTTTTGATGATGGGTATCATTAACGAGTATGAATCCAGTAAAGAGTTGTTTTGCAGTTGACACTGGCCTGATTTTTCAATCTTTTAAACGCTGCCATCCTAGCAATCTTTAATTCCCTAGTCGATATATAAATCTATATACATTCAGTTGCAACAGAGCATAAAAACTGTCTCTGTTGCTTGGGAGGAGATCTCTGACAGTTCTGGTGTGATGTTGGGGCTGTCTGCCAGACAGCTGTGTGTCCTCCTCAAAGCAGCTTTCTTGTTACAGGCTGCTCCTCTCTGCTACAGGAGCAGAAGTGTTGCTGTGATGCTTGGTGGGCAATAGGAAGGAGTTTTTGGTGTGCGATTTATTCCTTGGGTCCAATTCACTGTGTATCTCTCTTTTTTTTTTTTCATAAGCAGATGAATAAAGAAATGCTTTGGTTTTTTCCATATGTACTCTAATCTCAAAGCGTTTTTCTTATCATTTTTAGATGCCTAAATCTTCAGTGCAGAATAAGCTTTACAAATAAGAAGTGCAAATGTAGTTTCAGCTCCATGAAATAATACATCATTTGACCCAGTGTACATGTTTTTATGGAGACACTTGTTCTTTGTTATGGTTTTGTTTTGGTTTGTTTCTTTTTAATAGAATAACTATAAAACAGTTGTTATGCAACTGTCTTGCTTAGGAGTGCCAAAAATGAATGCTTGTTGGATTGACTTTTGTTTTTCTTGGAAAAAAAAAAAACCCACACCTCTGCACAACTTCAAAACTGAAAATGCCTGAGTCAGCTGAAAATGCCTGCTCTTCCGTGCAAGAAATCTATCTGGTTTAAAGAAGTCACAGTGTTTCTGCTGTTAAAGCTGCATGCCTATAGAACAAATAAAAAATTACTGATTCTACTGTGCTTTTCCACTTCATATTGTATCTGTCCTCCCCACTTCTAGGTCTGCCACTTTTACAACAGAAAGGATGGTGTCTGCAACCAGCAAAACAGCTGCAACAGGCTTCATATTTGTCGACACTTTCTTCATGGACAGTGTAGATTTCTTCCATGCAAGAGGTCCCATAACCTCTTGGATACCCATGCACTGAGTGTGTTGGAAACTGGAGGCATTGATGTGAACATAGCTTCAAACATCCAGGAGATATATGACCGCAAGCATGTGGAATTCAACAAGGAACAGAAGAAGGGGAAAAGTAAGTTGTAAGAAACACTGGGTTTAAATAGGATTCTGAGCTTGACAGAGGTAGAAGCTGTTCTTGCCTTAATTCACAGCTAAACCCCTTTCTGTGCTTTCAGTACACAACTCCAAACCAAGAGAAAATTTATTGAAGAAAACAGCAGTTGCAAATGTTAAAGAACCGATGCTATCTTTGCAAACAGAGGACTCCACACCGCGTGTGCCACCTTCAAAAGGTAAATAACTAGATAAGTACCAACTGCTTCCATGTAGAATCAGCTTTCCTATTTCCCCTCTTACAACATGTATATATCTTTTTCCCTTCTGCCACTTGACCTGCTTTCAGGAATGGAATGAGTCGTGGCCAAGTCGTGTGGGAAGGAGAGCTACATTAGTATTGCCTAAAATACTGCATGCAAAATTGCATGTGACTAGCTGGGATGTGTAACTGTTATTGCTGATCTGTTGTATCAGCAGTGGAGTGCCAGTGGAAAACTATATGTGTGATGGACGTAATCCTCAACACACAAATTGGGATGTTGCCAGCTAGCTGAGGTTCTGGTCCAGCAGTGCTGTTGATTCAGTCTTCTCATGCAGGTCCCAGTAGCAACGTACGTGATCAGAGCCAACACCAGTTGCCAACAGGAGCTGGAGGTAAAGACAAAGGTATGGATTGTTTCTAACCCTCCAGTCTTGAGATCAATGCTTTTCACTGGGATTTGGTTTCACGCAGTCCTACGTCTCCTTGTGGTAGTCAGGGTGCAGCTTATGTGCTTACCCTACCATATGCTGAAAGCCGTAGTAGACAGCTTGCAGAGGAGTAGTGAGATTTCTGCCCAAGCATTGTGCAGCACGGGGAGTAGTCTGGGGTTCATCTCTGCTGTTCCGGACACGTTGCTTCCTTCCTGGGAAGGAGACAGAGTTGTACCTGTGCGTGTGGTATCTTTCCTTGCCTTCTGTCCCCAGGGAATGGATAGAGCTTTGTCATTAGAGCGGTTGTCTTGATATATGTTCCAGTGCATGAACAGGAACTCGTAAATCTCCTGTCTTCCTGGGCAGAAGGGCCTTGGCGTTAAAGCCTGTCAGAGTCCACTACTCTCTGAACGGGTTCTTTTAGATGTTCCACGCATGGGGGGTGTAATGTTTAATATCAAATTTACTTACTTGGAAATAGTTGATGTTACACAGGTGTTGTGGGTTAATGATGGTGGGCAGGTGGGTACCACACAGCCACTTACTCACTCCTCCCTGACCCACAGTGGGACAGGGGAAGGAGAAAGAAAGAATAAAAACAAGAAAACTTGAGGGTCAA